CTTCGCCTTCAATATCTTCACAAAACGTAAGACATAAGCCGTCACTCGCACCAGCCTGTCGAGGGTTCCAAAGTTCTCGATATTGATGATATTGCTAAGGGTTTGGGGTGTGGTGTTCACAATTAGGTTAACAGTTCTCGACTTGGTGGATCGAACTTCAACGAGACATTCCTTCGGAGGCGTAATTTCCTTCTCATCTTGACAAGAGTGTGTTTCAACATCGGTTAGCCACTCAGGGCCACAGCTCCACAGCTCATTACTTGTAAGCTCCGTCGGTTTTATTCCTCTGGATGGAATATCGGCAGGATTATCTCGACCGGGACAATGACGCCAGGTGGCTGTGGGTAAGAGGCTCCGGATTTCACTCACTCTATTTTCAACGAATTGTTTCCACTCCTTATTGCCATTTGTGATCCAGAAAAGTGCAACTTTCGAATCGCTCCAACAGACTGGATCATCCAACTTAATTTCATCTCGTAATGCCGTTTGAACATTCTTCACTAACCTTGCAAGGGTCAAACATGATAGAAGTTCTAGTCTCGGAATTGTTTGTCTCTCGATTGGTGCGACTCGTGTCTTCGCTGCTAAGAACTTTACTCTGATGCCAATTGTGGGAATCATGACCAGGTAGGTTACTGCGGCGTACGCCGCCTTCGAGGCATCACCAAATCCATGGACAATGCAGGAGATAACTGGGTCGTCGACCTCTCGAAAATAGCATCGAGAAAGCCGAATGCGATTCATTTGTTTTAGGTCATTAACTAGATTGTCCCATTTTACTTTAAGATCATGGGGTACTTCATCGTCCCAATTCAACTTTTCTCCGCACAGTTCTTGGAATAACATCTTGAATTGAACTGTTATTGGCGACATGAAGCCAATCGGATCATAGAACTTTGCAGAAAGACAGACGATATTTCGCTTTGTTGGGGAACACTCGGATGCCAATTCGGTCACATGACTAAGATCAAACACAAGATCATCTTCAACAAAATTCCACGCTACCCCGAGAACCTTGTGCTCTTCATTAGAGGATTCATTGGATGTTCCTAGCGTAATCTTCGAGTACGTTTCATCTTCATTTACGCAATCGTTTGGCGGTTCGTCCACTTGAGGGTTAGGCTTCAAATTAGTTCTAGGAAGAGGGTTCTCTTCACTTTTGATCTTCGTCAACAGTTCGGGCGAGTTGGTAAGAAACTTCCGAAGGTTAAATCCACCTTCTGCCAATCTAAGCTTTGATTTCTTGTAAAGAGTGTAGGCAGATTTGTCATCATCCCCACCCGAGTTTAGATCATCTACATAAACAGCTCGCATGAAGGCTTCGACAAAGGCAGGATCTTGAGCGCGGTACTGTTCGATATGGTGACTGATAGTCGCATTCAGTAAGAACGGGCTGGATGATACTCCGAATACTACACGCGTAAATCTCAAGACAATAATCTTAGGTTGGTCACTCCAAACATCATCAAACCAAAGAAACCGTAGAACATTACGATCAGCTTCTGAAACTGCTATCATCAAAAAAGCCTTCTCTATATCACCCGCTAGTGCTACTTTGTGGCTTCGAAAACGAAGAATAATGTCCATGATGTTATGGGTCATTGCGGGCCCAGTATAGAGGCATTCATTCAAGGACGGACCAGATGTTTTGGCGGATGCATCATACACAATTCTTAGCTTGGTTGTCTCTTTATCTCGCCTGATCACAGCGTGATGAGGAATATAGTGAACTTTTCCGAGCTCTCCAATATCTTCTTTCTCAACAATCTCGACAACGCCCTTGGTAAGTTGATCCTTTATTACTGCATCATACTCCTTTAAGACTTCGGGATCACGTTTCAAGCGCTCGAGTAGACTCCACAGTCGTTTACGACTCATTTCATAGTTGTCAGGCAGTAAAGGATGGTGCTCTTTCCATGGCAACTCAACGTGATATCTTCCCGCCTTGAACCCTATGGTACTTGTGAATTCTTCAACAACCGACTTCTCTTCCTTTGATATACCGAGTGACTCCAAATCCCAGAATCGTCTCAGTTGTTGGTCATCTTCGTGGTGCATTGGTTGGGATGGTGGGGTTTCAAGCTGCAAAACATGAGGGGATGACATGTTTACAGATGCTTCCAATCTCTGTTGTGAATGGTTCTCGACTGGTCCGGACAGGACCCATCCAAGGTTGGTGTTGATAGCTGTCGGACCATTTGTTCCCTTTCGAATCTCTCCTGTCACTATGTCCCAATACTTATCACAACCGATAAGTATGTCCACTTCCGAGTCAAGTTCTCCCATTGAATCATCAGCTAATACTAGGTCATGTAAGTGAGGGTAATTGTGGCGGGATTGTGAGACAAGTTGGTATTGCAGTGGGTCACATATGGTGGGTACAACAAAGGCTGACAAGGACAACTGTACCTTATCAGTGTGACTTTCTAGAATAAAATTGACTGAATCACAGGTGGTTAGAGTTTCTTCTCCAGAACCGAAAGTTTTTATTGACATTGTTTCAGTTCGCTCAGTGGGTAGGCTTAGTAAATCTTGTGTCCGACTGGTGATGTAGGACCTCTGGCTTCCGCCATCTAGGATAACTCTCACGTTCCCACTCTTACCATTTCTACTCACAGGAAGGATTGTTGCCTTTGCAGTTTGAAGAAGTATTGGGGTCTTGGTACTTGTAAACAATGATTTTGTGCCACTATTCCCTGATTGATTTGATCTACTGGGTTTGTTGCTTGAGATTTTGCTCTCAGAGGTTTGTTCATGCTGTTGTTGCTTAAGCTCTGTATCGGATGGGGTCTTCTTGGCATGGTTATGACTGCTATTCTTGGTGCATATACTTATGTGGTGTTTACCATTGCATTTATGACATCTTGACTTAGAGTTGCAATCACGACTTAAATGATTTTTTCTCAAGCAGAGAAAACACCGTCCACTTCGCTTTATAATGTCAATTCGTGCTGAGATGTTAGAGACATTGGTGCAACTATTTGAGGTATGTGACTGCTGACAGTAGGTGCATGTCGGTGATGTACCCCCTGTCTGCAAGGTTGAAATTGAGGGTTGTGGTTTGGAAAATTTCTTTGTTTGGTAATGGGGCCAAGTCTCCCTGTTGGTATTTGCAGTTGCTCTTTCTCGGGCCTCTAGCTCCTTCTCAATCAAGCAAGTGTCCCAATTCCCAAACATCTCCTTGTACTTCTCGACTCACTATTATGCACAATTCCTGAGGTAACTTATTGAGTAACATTGAGCATAATAGATTGCCATATGTTTCTGCCTGTACCCCAAGTGATTTCAAAGCTCTGATATGAGATTCTACAGTGTCATAAAGTGTTCTCAGTCCCTTTAAGTTATGTGGAGAAGTAACTGGCTCTAGATTTAACAGAATATCCATGTGTTTATTGATTGCAAGCTGTTTGTTACCAAACCGCTTCTTCAATATTTTGATGGCTTCTTCATAATTTAGAGTGGTTAAGGTTAATCCTGCAATTGCATCTGCTGCTGTTCCTTCCACAAGTGACGAGAGGTAATTAAATTTATCAATACTTGATAGTGTGGGATTGTTGTGAATTGACGACTCAAAAGTATCCCAGAATGTCGCCCAAGATGTGGGATCTCCCCGAAATGCCCTAAGATTTAACTTTGGCAACTTTACTGTGGGTATTTTGGTGTAATTATTCATGAAATTTGAAGGGTCAGCTTGTATACTGTTGTCACCATGGTTACTGGCAGTTTCTGAATTATTCCCTGTTATGGATGTAGTGGGTTGCGTAGGGGTAACTGGGGTTATGACATTGTTTTCAGTATTCAATTGTGTAGTACTTGATTTCTCATATTCATCTAAAGCCATTTGTACTTCAATAATAACAGACTCGATTTTCTCTCGTGAAATATCCCCTTGCTCAATCTCTAACTCTATGTCCTCTACACTTACCAGCGCCAAAATAGCTTCATCTTGCTCTCGGAGTGATTTTAACTTCGCTTCGAGTGTTGACTTTTGTTGTTTTAACTTCGCAATATGCGGAGTTAACTGCGATTTCTCCGCCACACTCATAAGAGTTTCGCCTATAGACGCCATAATTCGTTTTGCTGAGGTTCTATGTCCGTTTCGACATCTTTTCTTTCGAGTCAACTCTTCTTTTTCGGCCATTGTTCAGGATTTATGTATCAGAATCTTTTCAATATGGCGGCTCAAATTCAGATGTATAAACTCACGTATTATTTTGTAATATTCGGCTCGGAAGGACCATGTAAAATATTTAGATTAAAACTCTCAAAGGACTCCTTTCTCCAAGGTTCAAGGCTCAACTCATGCGTGGTTCAGACTCATTAAAATATAAATAACACAAACTTTATTACAAAAACGCTGCATATGAAAACTCTACGCTCGTCTCATTAGTATTCCATGTGTTCACAAAATAAACGTCATAGAATATTACGCAATCTCTGACAATGTAAAAAGTTGATATTTGATAGTAGATACTTCTACTCTTTCACATATTTGATGCCCGTCTCCATATATTTTGTCCCTCCAAATCACCCCAGAATATGCACTGTGATCTCCTTTTGAGAAAAGGCTAATTACAGTTAAAGTGAATATACTAACCCATATAGAATCTAAATCCAGGATGACATTTGACATCTTTTTTTTAAAAGAATATTGAGGAAAAATATCATTTTGGAAAAAAAATGCAAAAATTGCAAAAGATGTTATATTTAAATTTTAACAAATTTATTTTTGTTCTTCGAGAAAATAAGAAATAATTTATTATTAACCATTATTTCTTATGTTAAGAATTTGATTTCTTGTTTTAAAAATTTTGTTAAGAAAATGATTTGATATGAAGATGACAAAATCGTAAGAAAACATTCATATTTCAAGAAAACAAATGTAATTTAAGATATGTTAAGAGAATTTTTCTTATTTCAAAAAATGTTCTTCAACAAATATTTTCTTGCAGTAAGAATTGTTTTCTCAATAAGAAATTATTTTTTACTGTGTAGTTGAGATACTGTATATTGACAGACAATTGGCATATCTACATATATCTGCAATTTTTATGCAGATATTTTGCAGATATTTTGACAGACAATTGACATATCTGCAAATATCTGCAACTTTTATGCAGATATTTTGCAGATATGTTGACAGATAATCAACATATCTACATATATCTGCAACTTTTATGCAGATATTTTGCAGATATTGTAGATCTTGTTGCAGATATGCTGCAGTACTGCAACAGATATATGACAGATACTTGCAGACATTTTACATATATGTCAGTTTGGTAAGGGTTTACTGTAAATATCAGTTGCTAAAATATAAGTCATGGAAAAACTCCATAAATGATGCATGGGGGAGTGAAAACCCTGATGATAACACATACATTTCTGCTTGGAAAGAGTTTTTGAATTCACCATATGCCAAACAACATGTTCCAAACTGGGAAGAAAAACTACATGGTGCATTAGATTGTGTAGTTCAGTCAGTTGACGACCCTGTGCCAAATGAAGATTCATATCAAGAAGATTGGATGATCAGTGCTAATCTACACAACAGTAAGATAAATGATGGTTGTCAAACTGTAGATCAAACTCTCTATGATTGGAGTTTGGATAGGCAAAACTATAGTGAAGTTCAAACGTCTGAAATGACACAATGGATTGAAACCAAAAAGAAGGACAATGCCCCATTAACTAATCATTATGTGACAGTTGACATAACCTGTTTTAGTGAAAGACAAAATCTTGCATACCAAATTATTTTAAATCATGCAAGTAAAAAGGGTAAGGAACCACTTTTATTAATTGTTACTGGAGAAGCTGGGACTGGAAAGAGTTACCTTATAAATGCCGTACGAAACTACCTTAAAGATAAGTGTGCTGTGACAGCAACAACTGGAAAAGCTGCTTATAACATTAATGGCATCACTGTTCATTCCCTTCTGAAGCTTCCTGTAGCTGCTTCATCCCATAAAATTTATCCGGGCAAAGTCTTGTGATTTTACAGGAAAAATTAGCACAGGTTAAATACATATTAATTGACAAGTACTCCATGCTTGGTCAAAGTACAATTGGGTGGATTGACAGAAGGTGTAGACAAGTAACTGGTTAAAAAGAAGAAATCTTTGGTGGCAAATCTGTTATTTTGATTGGAGATCCTGGTCAGTTACCACCAGTGGCTGACAAACCATTATATCATGCAAAACCATCTAGTGACATTTGTCAACAAGGCTATATGGCATATCTTATGTTCAATAATGTAGTTGTGTTAACAGTCAATCAAAGAGTAAGTGGCATACATTCTGAACAAACATCCTTTCGAAATCTTCTGGCCAGGTTGCAAAATGGTCAGTCAAATGTTTCTGATTGGAAAGCGTTACTTGATAGACAGCCAGCATCAGTCGAATTCAACACTGCTACAAAGCTTTTTTACAGCAATAAACAAGTTGCAAAACACAATTATGAGCAGCTAACTCCATTGAATCAGCCTATAGCTGTAATAAATGCGAGACATTCAAGTAACAAGGTAAAGCATGTAAGTCCTCAACAAATGTTTGGGCTTCAACCATGTCTTTTCATTTGCAAAGGAGCTAAAGTCATGTTGACAGTGAATCTCTGGCCTTCTGTTGGTTTATGCAATGGCTCGACTGGTAAGGTAGTTGATATCATATATGCGCTAAACTACCTGACTTGCCAGTTGCTGTTATTGTAAAATTTGATGACTATGTTGGACCATCCATTGCAAATATGAAGTCTTGCGTTCCTATCAGTCCAGTTACTGTCGCTGCAGAAAACTTGTTCGATGAAAGACAACAATTACCATTAACTCTTGCATGGGCATTAACCATACACAAAAGCCAGGGAATGACTTTAGGAAAAGCATGGATTGATATTGGCCAGAAAGAGTCTACATTAGGAATGTCATGTGGCTATAAGTCGTGTCCGGAGTCTCTCTTCATTAATTATTGAACCAATAAGTTTTGAGAGACTAAGTAGAATAAAAGAATCAGAAACACTTAAATATAGGATAAAGGAACAAAAACGACTTGATGAAATTGCTGGAAAAACTAGTGGTACTATATTTTGAAACCTTTTCATATGCTGTTTACCAAGTTGTAGAAAGTGTTGTGTCTTAATTAATTTAATTATAGTATAAAGTTAATTTTCTATCAAAATGCTAAACTTATCTTTCTTGATCTCTTAAAACGTTGTGTTAACTTTAATTTCTAACTTTGTATATAGGAAATTGAAATGGACAGTTGCATCATAGGTGAGCACTAACGTTTTCCTAACATGCATGTTATTTTTGCACATCTACATGAATCTGTAAGATTCACCAAATACTACACCATTCTGTATTAGTAAGCAAAATATATTTAAATATTGTTTAGGCTGTAGGAGCTAAGCTTACAAGATCAAAAAACTATATTTAGCTAGTACTGTTCACAATACAATAAAGAACGAAAACCACTATTATGTTATAGATATGCCAGCTAGAGAGTCAGATGATGACGCTGTCCTTTCAGTAGTCGAAGAAGCTGAAGGTAATATGTAATTTTTTTTTAAATTAACTGTCTATTTATTTATTTTTACCTCTTGGCCAGAAAGACCAAGAAAACCCAAATCTGTACTTTTTTATTCTTAGGTCTTGACCAGAAAAGTAGAGGTTCAAAAGAAAAGCTAGGTAAAGGTGAGTAACCAAACCTAACTAATAAGGCACTAAGAGTCTAAAAGACACTATAATCGGTATATTTTTATTATTGACTATTTAGATATTAAACTGGATGATTATTTAAATCTGTACATTCTTATTCTTTATTTGTTAGGTCTTGACCAGCAAACAGAACACACAAAAAAAAGCAACTGAAAAGCTGAGTGAAGGTAATATTTGAATCACCAAACATATAAAGTAATGCAAAAAGCAGTTTAGTGCACAAGGCTCTAGCTAGCGGAGCAAGCTCTTTAATAATGAAGAGCCAGCCCGAGAGTCCGGGTAATTTTGATCAGTCTCGGTTGTCAGCCTGAGAATTTTGATTTGCTGAATTTAGTTTGAATGGTATGTGATTGGCTTGATTTAACTTAAATGGCATACAAGCGAATTTAATATTCAGGGTTTAAAAATAACGACAATACAACAACGATATTTACAGTCATTTTCAACTAACTTTACACCGAACGTTTCGCAAGTTCCGTTCTGTGCTTCATATATACATTTCACATTTGGAATATAGGTTGGTTAATTCGTAACAAACTTCCTAAAGTGTGAACTTGGCGAATTCGATGAATGTCAATGTTGGAATGTCAAGAAAATTGTAAAACTCGCAAAACAAATTGTGAAACAAATTAAACCGTCTGAAAGACTAAAACTCTAAAATTTTGAAAAACTCGATAATTTTATGTGCAAATCTCGATAATTCGAACATTGACATTCAGGGAATTCACCAAACGGTAACGTTCAACTGCAACCTCGACGTAAATCCATTTGCCTTCAACATTTCGAAGACTTTTGTCAGCCGCGCTGGCTAACAAGGCTCTGTTGTTAATATACATTTTTATTTGTTCTAGATCAACCTGCAATAGCATATTTACACAACCTTTCTCCTATCAAACAAAGTCAGAGAAAAAATTTGTATTTTGATATGCAATTACAAACAAAGAACAAGAATTACAGAACGGTGTGTTTTTCACCTGAAAAACACATGCTTTGTAAGGCTAAGTTTGAATCGTCATCTCCAGTTAAACTAACTAAATTTGAACTGAAAAGAAATACCAACAACAATGAAGATGAAATCTTCATTAACAAAAGATCGAAGCTAGAAGACCCATCAGACCCAGAAATTGACTTCGATTTTAAAGTCACAACAAAAGCAACTGAAAGTCAAATTGCTCCTGGTATCCAGATGTAGTATCACTATCTGATGGAAGCTCCACTTCATTGGTAAATGTGAGTGGCAGAATTTCTTTTCACGGATTTCAGGAAACAATCCAAAAGAACGGGAAGACCCTTCGGAAGCAAGAAGCTGTTTTGACCGACAATACCGCGTCTATCCGCATGGTCCTATGGGAAAGTGATATAGCAAAGGTCACTTCCGGATCCCACTACACTCTGTCGAGGGCCGTTGTCAGGGAATATGACGGAGACAAGTATGTAACTCTGAACAGAAGATCTATAATTAAAGAGGCAGCTTCCACAGTAGATGGAGAAGACCAGGTCAATCATCAAAGAAATTTGAAATCTGTAGAATGCCTAGCAGAGGGTGTGGACTCTATCAAGAGGTTTCTGTCATGTAACAGGTGTCAAGTGAAGTTGGCGCCGATAGCCGGAAAAAATATAGTAAAATGTAGCGAGTGTGGGTTAGCACAGATGAAGAACAAATGTAAACAAAGGTTCCTTGCAAGTGTGCTGTTCAAGGACAAAGATGAAAAGTCGAGCACAACCCTTTTATTGTTCGATGACAAGTTACAACAACTTTTTGAGATATTTAAGGAAGACAGTTCCACCCCAGATTTAGATTTCAACTCCATTGACGATGATATGTTAATCGAGGTTTTGCTAACAGTTGATGCAAACGTTTTTTAAATGCAAACCCCATCTCAAGAAAATAACCTAAGTAATCATGGGTGACTACATAATGTCAATGACAGTCGGTAGACGGATTGACTCCAAAAATTATAGAATTTGTGCTAATATAGTTCTGTTCTGTTTTGTTATTATTGAAACTGTCATAGCGCCAGCCGCCAAGAGGAACGATCTCTATGTACATTTCAACAAAAAAACGTAAATGATGGCAGAGACTTATAGACTGCAAAATTGTGACATTTAGTTTTAATAGAAGGTTTACTGTTTTGATATTACACTGTTGATTTTGTGTTCATGATTTCTTATCAGTTGAAAGTCCAAAGCCTGGTTCACGGGAGTGAGATAAGCACAAGCAGAAATACAAAATTAAAGAAAATTCTTCCTCTAAGGCTCAAAGACACATGATTTATGTGTCTTTGGTTGTGGCTTAGCCTTACCTTATGCTAGGAGACTTGTACTTACAGTATGTCTGCGTTTACTTCACTGCATCCCTTTGTTTATCCGTAACATCACCTTATTATGCCCGTGCTTATTTCACCCGTGTGGACCCGGGTATAAAACTTGCCACATTCCTTTGTTAACAGTTTTCAAAAAATTTACGTCAAATACGATAAAGACCATCCCATGTATAAGACATATTCAATTACCCTTTCTCACGCCGCCATTTTTGGGTAACCTTTTTATAACAGGGATAGTAAGCCAGCCATGTACCCAGGTGCAAATAACTAAAAATAGAGACACTACAGTGTTTTATATAGACCAGTGGCTCAAACTTAGCCACTGATCTATATAAAAACACTGCAGTGTGCCCATTTTTAAAAGTTTTAGCGCCTGGGCACAGTAGAGACATACAGAGACGTAACTAGTGTACCCACTTTTTTGTGCGCATGCTCGGCAAGTTACTAGATGCATGCATCTGATGAATCACGACTAACTTTAAACTTGCTGAGCACGCGCAGTTGATCATTTTTCGCCCGGTTGCCTGAAAAAAGTGGGTACGTGATAATGTAATCTTCCGCAGTGTTTACAACGTTCAGTTACATCTCTGTATGTCTCTACTCTGTGGCCTGGGTATGGTACGAAGTTGGATAATAAGCAGTGAAAATGAAACTTTCTATAACTACAGTTATAGAAAGTTATAATAACTACTGAGGAAGGCTAATTAGCCTTTCTTTCTTACCCAGGCGAAATTTGCCATTCTTGGCTGATTTCAGGCTAGCCTATATTTATTCATTACAGATCTTTTTTATTCTTCTTTTTACATATTAAAGATTTGGGAATACAGTATGCTATACCAAGGCAGCATTTTCTACCCTGTGGGTAAACTAGTTTATATATATTACTTATTTTATCATTTGTTACAACAGTTAACAGATCTTCATTAAAGCTGCATATTATTTGATAAATGTCATGTTACTTGACTGCAGCAAATCTTCTCAATTTTTAGTGTAAAGATTTTACAGTATTGTGATGAGTGGGGAAAATTCAAACGAATCAATCATTCATTTAGTCATAGTGTAAACTTTCCGGGGGTGAATACGATTTATGTTTGTAGTTTATGTAGTCCTTCGCCAGTTCTTTGAAGGTTATTTAGGCAATTTCAGTTCTCTTATTTACATATTCTTTTGTCCGTTTGCCAAGTTCACAAAAATTTAGAGGAATCATTGTCATTATTGTAAATCTTTAGCAGCACAGATGCGCATGCACTATCAAGCCGTAGATCAACAATGGTGTGACAATTGCTAGGAAGGAGCAGCTGTTGTTTTCGAATGTATAAACATTTCAGATGTGAATATTGAGTAAATCTTTGAGAATCTATGCAATATATAAATTGATATTATGCATTATGGGCATTCAATCAAGTACCAATATTATTTAGATGCTACATTCATTATACATCAACTGTATAAAGTGCTACACTGCTACACCACAGAGTAGATGGCTACAGGAGCGACAGTGTTGTTTTCAAACTAACTAATGTATAAACATTCCAGGTGTACATATTGAGAAAATCTTTGAGATTCTAGGCATTCAATTAAGTGCTGACATTCTTTTGACAGTATATTCATCACACAGAGCTAGGATGGAGAGAGACAGTGTTGTGTTGTCTTCAAATTTATAAACAGTTCAGACATGAATATTGAGAAAATCTTAGATTCCACGCAATATATAAATTGATGTTATGCATTACCGGCATTCAATTAATTGAAGTGCCAATATTATTTATTTATTAAACTTTGCCAACATAAAACATGCACACAAAAATTACAATATAACAGCAAACATGTATGTCACTGAATCTAACAATGAGGGACACCACAACAGTATAAACCAATTACTGCGGGCCCTGGTTATACACTATAACATCAAAATTAATGAACCGTAAGGGCCATGCTACTCAAGGCAACATCTGCTGCAAACTGCAGATAGAGTCTTAAAGATGGAAAGTGAAGAAATAGAAAAAAAGAAAATTTTTTTAAAATGTCGTGCCGTTTAGATAACACGAGTCTACGACATAAACCATGGTGTAAGTCGCAGCAAAAATTGTCTCGCACAACATTTAGGGCCTGTTCATATGATGCCGCTTACCGGGACGTCTCACTTACCGATCATCTCACCGCCTATCTATTTTCCTATAAAATATTGCATTGTGTTCATATGAGAAAGCGAGCTGGCCCGCTTGCCGAGATCTCGCTTGAATTTGCCAAGATCATAGGTAGGCGGGATGAAAATTTTCCCATATGAACACGCCAGCCCGCTTACCGGGATGAAAACATTTGCAGTGCACATGCGACAAAAGCCGCTGACTGGAATAGTATGCCGAATGCGGTCGCGTATAAATACAAGCATGGCGGCTTCTCACTCGAACTCAAATTTTGACAAGAAGAGAAAGAGTTTTCGTTGGAATCCTGAAATGATTGAACAGTTGATTGATTCGTTAATGGAGTATAAGACACAAATGTCTTATAAAGGTATTGATTTTGACGGAGATAAGCCCATGCAGTATAAAGAATTACGTTTGATGATGGCCGAAATTAACAAAGAAGATACTTCTCTGTTTGGTCCTGTTTATATTGATCAATTGCCTGATAGTTTTGATGAAATGCCAAAAGAAGAAAAAGATTTGGCAAAAGAGCAAGTTAAAGTATCCAAGGAACTGGTTGCCAAAGGAACGAAGAGAGTGATGGAAAAGGTAAAGGAAATTAGGCAGTCTTTCTCAAAGGCAGTGATATCTGGTAAAAGAAGTGGTAGTGGAAAGATTGTGTTTGAATTTTATGACAAGCTGGTATTGCTGTGGGGTGGCTCAGCCAATGTATCTCCCTTGACATATGGTGTTGGAAGCGATAGTTTCGAACAGGAAAGTGATTTTGAACAGGACGAACAAGATATATTCAATGAGCAAGATGTCAATGATTTCTCTAATGCAACAACACTGTCACTGCAGTTGAATGTTTCACCATTGCCAGTTGAAGATGATAATACTGAGGAAACTGAAGCTGTTTCGACATCAGCCAACAAAAGGAGAGCCAGCTGTGTGCCACAGCTAATTGATAATAAAAGAAAGCATCTGGAAAAAAACCTGTCTGCAGCTCAGCGTGACAAGATGCTGTTCGAAGAGGCTAAAGAAGATGCAAAATTTAGAAAAGACTTGACAGAGTCATTGAAGGATTCGTCGGCTACTTTTGCACAAGGCATACAAGATGTGAGCAAGGCCATTTTGGATATGGGTGCAGGGCTTTCTCGGTCAATTGAAATGCTATCACATGGATTTAGTCGTGGTCATCCACCACATCCTGTGAATCAAAATATGTTCTACCAATACCCAGTTCAGTATATGCCATCACATGCCAGCAACCCCAGTGTTTATATTCCCATGTCACATGAAACCCCCCGTAAAGTGATGCAACAAGATAATGGAAGTGATGAAAACATGCAGGATTGACCCTGAACATTGCATACTGTTATGAAATGTTAGCAAAGTATGGTTTAAAATAGTTTAGAACACTGGATGAGGTAAAACTTGGCACCCTGTTCAATTTATTATTATGTTAAAAAGTTGATATTGCTTGTGTGTTATGTTGTGCATTGTATGTGATGCCAAAAACTACCATTTTCATATTAACATTGTGGGATGAAGTATTTAAATAGGGCAGTTCTGAATAGACCTTTTCGTCATGACTAACACTAATTTCCTCATGACTAACACTGTTTTTAACTTAGGACCATCTTAAATGGAATGGATTTTATGTTTGTTTCTCACGGGTTATGGTCAGAGGAGCAGCATATCCTTCTTCAACACATGCATAAAAAATAATTTTAAATTTTAACCAATAAATGTGGAAATAAGCTTAAACCCTCAGCCTCATTTTTGTGTTTAAGCTTATTTCAACATTTAATAGTCAAAATCCAAATGTGTTGATGGAGGATGTTCTGTCTTCACAGCCTGTGAGAAAAAAGTTGAAATCTATACATTTAAGGTGGTCCTACATTAAAAACAGTGACGTAATAATTACCGAAAAGGTCTATTTGTTTTAAAGTATTTGCATAGATTTCCTAAAAAATAAAAAAATATGTTAGTTTTGATACTGGTTGTGTTGTTGTGAGTTTTTGCCTTCTGGGCAATATTGGGCACATTGGTATAAACTAAAAATAGAAAAGTGATTCCCAGTACCGGTAGATGCACCTTTATTATTTTACTCTAATGCCAGATGATTTTACTCATCGATTGGTTAATATGCATGCAGGAGTGTAGGAAGCTTAACAAATTGAGGGGTGCTCTGCTAAAGTAATATTTTGGTTACATCTCTTGAAATCTACTCCATAAACCTCTGCATGAAGTCCAAACTACCTAATATTCACACAACACATAGTATTTATACAATTCTGAAAGACTGAAACTTTCATGAAACAGATTGACTTATACCAGATATTTCAAGGATTCAAATATATTTTATAATTTATGTTTATAAATAACGTGTATACAACAATATTTCTGGTGACAAATTCTATGCCAGCTCCCATTATGTTAATAACATTGGAGTCTGGAGAGGGGTGGCCCACCCAGACCCCTCCTCTATGCCTCTGGGCCTAGTGTAATTTAATTTCTAAAATCAAACATATGAGTGCTATCACAATGTGTCAAATAACAATTTTGTGATATCAAAGCTATCACATTAATGTGTCAAGTACCAATTTTGTGAGAGTTTTCCTCACAACTATACCCTCTTCCTCATTAGAAGAGTAAATTGGGTCTGGGTTGTTTTGAAATTCAGCTTCATTTCTTCTGATGAATTCAATCTGAGAGTTGACAACAGTTTGATCAACATTCACATTGTTTTTTTCACAGTAATTATGCAACACAAAGCATGCATATACCACTTTCGGAATTGTTTCCAATTTGAAGTCCATTTTGCGAGTAAGTATGGCCCATCTAGCTTTAAGACGGCCAAACGCGCATTCTATAGGATTTCTTGCAGCTCTCAGCATGTTGTTGAAAATGACTTCTTCATTGCTGATACATGTCTTGTACTCTTTCATGCAGAAGGGAAGCAATGGATAGGCAGGATCACCAATAAGGTAGTTTGGAACTTTGGCTCTCCCTTCAACTAGGGTCTGATAGGTGGTTGGCAACTTATTGTCCCTCAGCTTAATATTAATTGAGGAGTTAGTAAAAACCTTTGCGTCATGGACGCTTCCTGGCCACATGCATTCCACATCGAGGAAACAGCCTCTGTAATCACATACTGCTTGTACGCTTAGCGAATGATATTGTTTGTAACAGAAAAAATCTTGTGAGTTCTCTGCTGGGCACTTAATTGGAATGTGTGTCCCATCTACACAACCAAATGCTTGGTTCATCCCAAATTTGGCTTCAAATTCGGATACCTTCCTTCGCATGCTTTCCTGGCTCCTGGGAAGGTGTATGTATTTTGGACCCATTTTTCTTGAGATGACTTGACATACCTCAGTTATCACAGCTGAAGCAGTGTTAACAGCAATCCCAAATGTGTTTGCTGTCATCCCTAAAGAGCCCGTATCCTTTAAAAAATATAATGTCAGTGCCAGTTTTTTCTCAGCACTCAGTGCTCTGTAATTTGGAGAGCTTAGATCCGGCGAAATGTATGGGTTCAACTCTGCTAATAAGTTCATAAAGGATTCTCGTGGCATTCTAAAGTTCTTTTTCCAGCATTCCTCTGGAGCTATTCCATTCCACATGTTCTCCCACCATAAATCAGTACGACCTTTTTTAAACCAGCAGCTGCGAGGCCTTCTATTCAAAATGTTTAATCTACGTCGAGCCAGCTTTTCACGAAAGTAATTTCGTTTCCTTGCAATCATAGTAATAATCGCGTTGTTTTGCCTTGATACGTTCATACCCCAAATGAGAACAAGGCCAAACATTTGTGTAACGAGAGAGACAACAGCTGAAATACTTGCAACAATACTTTGTATAACTTGCTTCGAAGGCGCCATGTTTTCTTTAAATTTTCGCGGCTTTAGGCGTCAATTCACTTCCGGTAGTTTTCGTCTGGAAGGCGAGATAAAATTTCCCATATGAAAGCGGGACGTATTTTGTCTCGCTCAGTGGGACGTCCCGGTAAGCGGGATGATCATATGAACAGGCCCTATGTAAACTTTTGTACCTTTCCGATTTTCCCCTATTTTGGTAATTTTTAATTTCGAATTTGGTAATTTTTTGTTTGTTTGGAGTTTTTTAACAGACAAAAAAACTCCTTAATATAGGTAGTTATGATACATGTAATTATGATATGAATAGTTTCATTTGGTTTCAGTTTCATCAATCATTTCATTTTTAAATATTGTTGCTGTTCTGTATATTTTTGTTTTCTCATGGAAGCTCAAACGTTATTTGAAACTTCAAAATAGCAACTGAATAAAATTTTCAAACTGGCCTTGATGCCCTGTATATGCCCTATGCACTTTGAGGTGCTACTTTCTTGTTTGTTTGCACGGTGACCATATCTCAAAATTTGTACATGTACTTAACCCTATTAAGTTGTATTAAATTTTAAAATTTGAAAAAAATCTCCAGTGTGCTTTTTGTGAAACTAATTTTTAGCTTAAAAAAAACTACACTGGCAATTTTTAAATACTTTTCTAAAAAGATTCTGAATGCCATTATAATGTAATTTATGCAATAAAAAAGATAGGTCACCACCATGCTCATTTTCTCACTATGATGGGTTTTTTTTGCTAAAATTGTCCATCTAAATGATTGATGTCATGTTGCCATGGTGACTTCAAGAGTAATGATTTCTGTTTAAAATTACTCTTCAATATACAAGAAAACAAACGCTTATGCAAAAATCACATTTCTTACCTAAAACACCTTTTAGTTTAAAACTTTGATATATATTAAAACTGTAGGGAGCCTCCTTAATGCATTTTTCTTGGTGCACGACTCTGAAAATCCGAAATTTGGATCGCTGAATTCTTGTGCATGATCATAATATACTGAATCTGAATATAAACGAGCCAAACAAAATTTCAAGGTAAGGGGGGTTAACTACACAACACAGTTTTAATAGATAACTACTTTGAGAAGCACATTGGTGTCATATCAATATAAAATTTATCTAACAACAGTCCCTATTAATAGTTAGCTAAACAGGAAAACTGTAGTGTGAAATATGATATTGTATTTGTAATGCCTAATGTCACAATAAAGATAAAATTGATTTAGCGTAAGAAATTGTACTTACGGATGTCAAATGTATTAATAAACACCCAGTATATTCTAGCGACTTATGGCCCTTGAAAATCAAGCGAAATTGTATTGATGAGTCGCTTGCAGTGTGTATTGTGGACAGATCACTTGCAGTATGTTTGCCCTTGTATTTGTATTGCCTAATGGTGCAATAAGAGTAAAAATACCACTGTTCGATTCAACATAGGAAATTATACTTACGGATGTCAAATGTATTAATAAATGCCCAGTATATTCTAGCGATTTATGGCCCTTGAAAATCAAGCGAAATTGTACTGTTGACAAATCGCTCAAAATTGTAAATTAAACTAATTATAAAAAATGCAGCAGGTTTGATCCTTGATAACTTTGGTATTGTTGGTTTTCTCTTTTTCAGCCATATACCAGTGTATTTGTCTCACTTCTCTCTTCATTTTGATAATATTTTGAACCCAAAAGCCCCAAAATATTTTATTTTGAACGTTTTAAAGTGCAGTTTAATCCTAGCGTACAGACCCAACTGGCAGCGGACAGAAGAATGTAGCGTACTAAATATAACTTGTAGGCGGAAACGCCGGACGTTTTATGTGTAGGGCACCCAATTGCATTTTTGTACTGTGTTAACCTTTCATGCTCGTATTCGACTATTCCGCTTGACAACCTTAAATCTTAATTGAAATACAGTAGCTGTGTACTGTATGTATCATATACAGTAATGTGCATATTTGTATAGTCCCACCAAGTTAACGCTCTATAGAGCGTCTTGTTTTATTATAAAAGTGTATTTTCCCAATTTAGATTGGGTGGGTCACGAAAAAGGTTTTGTAAGATTAGATGGGCTTTGAAATTTTTACCTACATCCTAAGATGGGTCTCTGAATTATTGGCAAAATTTGTGATTTTATACCTCCAGCCCACCCTAGTAGTTACTTTATGACCAGTCCCTAATTATCTCACACAAACCTTGATCCTCTTTCCTTCAACCTTCTTTAAATAATTAGGAGAGCAACATGGTTTGTGGTGGCATGTACCACATTCTGCAATACATGTTTTAATTTATATTTTGGTTTGTTCGCCTGCAGTGCATATCCTCCAAATATTCCATGCAGTTCCTTTTTTTTGCACAAGCCAGAATAGAGCATCAATTCCTATTTGATTTGTGGATCTGAAAAAGTCTTTTGTGGTCTTGTCATTTAATTTTTCTAGGTCTTGTTGTGTGAAGGGACATATTGTGCCATATACACTTATAAAATGTTCCTGAACATGCCATACAAAGCATGCATGCATGCATGGTGCAACATGCTTTGTATGGTAGGGAAGATGACATGGCCATTGGCTGAGAAAAGTTGCACATGTTTTCTTTTACCTGCTGTGACTTAACGGTTAGTGTAATTACAAGGTTTTACATCAGCATCATGGAATGCCACGTCTTGTGGTGCTAAGACCTGCCTTTGATGTTGATAGGTGCTATGATGATGCTGCCAGCAAATTCTATTGACTTTTGTTGTGTTTATCGATGATGATTTGTCGGGAGGGTGATTCCAAACATGTCGATATCCAATTGATTTTAGTTTTCCTTGAAAATTCTTTCCACATTAATCTCATTTTGATTAGACAAATTCACAATCCTGCTTTGATCAAAAAATCTGTCCACAATTGCTCAAGTTTACCAGCATCTTCATATGTGGATAGTACCTTGTCAATTTTTATGTTTCTGGATAGTTGGAGTTTTTCTGGCTTTGTCAAATCTCCCCCACTTTAGTTTCTTGCTCTCTTTGCAGATGAACCAATTAAAGATGTGCAATGTTTCATTGAGGTACTTTTTCCAGCCTGCCACATGTTTATATTTACTTCTATATTGTAATCTGTCATTAAAACGTTCTTTTTGTCAATTCCATCCTCTCTTCTTAGCTGCAGTATCAGTAGATTGATCAGATTCTCACATACTCAGAGATGTCAGGGATCAATAATAGACGGTTTTAGATAACAAGACGCGAACGTCAAGAGGACGTGAAAATGACGTATGCACCTCGTGTTCACTTCCGGGTTTTAATCTGGGATGGCTTGTTTGTCTTTTTCGAAGCAAATTTTTGTTTTCTTGTTACCTGTTCATTCCTGTATTGTTTTCAACCAGATGTCAAGATATGTGCAAGAAAATGTTATATAATACTGGCCAAGTGTTTCCTGATGAATTAGTATGAACATTCAATAAGTTTTTTTTAGAAAAAACATATATTTCTGTAATTTGAAAAGTGAACTTTGTTGCATCATTTGGAATAAATACAGGTATTGTTTACGAGCTAAATGCTTTATTGTAGCCTATTCAATCAAGTTTGTCAACTGTTCAGTATAAATATAGCATCAGTGTTTATATTGGTAAAATTTAATACTATTTACGATAGTTTTCATGCTGGAAAGCGTTTTTTCATGCTGGAAAGCGTTTTTGCATGTCCTACTTTTTGCACTGTTGTGACAGAGCAACTAAAATTGATTGAGTTTTTACTTCTTTTAAGTGCTTTATTTTTCTATTTTCCCACGTTTTCCTGATTTTTAAACAGTTGTCAATATAACTTCAGATTAGTTTGTTCTAAAATATTTGTTTTGGTGAAGATTACTAGCGGTATTGAAGTGGTTATTAACAATGTTCGCAGTTTTGTTGATTTGTTTATGGCGACCGAAAGTGTTTGTCGACAATCAACTCATCTAAAATTTAGCGAAATAAAAAAAAACAACCTTGTCAATGGAAAAACATCAGCTAGTATCATTAAACAATACATGGGAAACAAAATAGGATGATTTTTATTATGTATAGTCTCATATTTTTTTCAAAAGAAGCAAAAATCTGTGACGTTCTAGAGATGTGAAAATTGTATTTTCGCGTTGTGAAATCCAAGACGATGTCGCAAACCAGAAGCTGATGATAGTTGGCGCCAAATGACGACATCCACGTCCTCTTGATGTCCATGTCTTGTTATCTAAAACCGTCTAATGACATGATCAAGGGGAATTGTAGGGAAATTGGGAGCATGTTTTATTTACATTGAATTTTGAAGCTGCTGGACAACTGGAGCTCTTGGTAACAATCTCTATAATTTCTGCTATTGTCTTTAATGCTTCAATGCTTTAAATCCTTTAATAAAATACTTCTAAAACAGTATTATACTACACTAGGAGGAGTTATATATACTGAAAAACTAGATAATATTTATATTTATTTACAAGAAAGTCTTCATAATCACTGTATGACACATACATTAGGCAGTGACTAGAATGTTGTTATATGCTATTAACAACAATTTACGGCAAAAACGACAACGACAATAACGACAACAACAACACTAAGACGACAAAACGAACATATAGTACAATACAAACGATTCAAAACGATACTATTTAGGTACATTAAGTGACTTAATTGAAGGCATGGCAAGTGTTTTGAAACTTGGGGTTGATTGGCAAAGATTGTTAAATGGGATGTGATTCCAGGTAACAATTGTTCTTGGATAAAATGAAAACTTATATACATTGACACATGACTGAATTTGGTGGTAAGGACAGATATTAGGCTGCCTGGATGCTCTAGTCAAAGGACACACGTCATCAGGAAGACTGATTCCAACAAGGCCTTGGTGGATCTTGTAGAACATAGTGGCTTGGTGAAGCAGTTGCTGTTGTTGGAGATTGTCCCAACCCAGGTGGTCGATTATTGGAGAGACGTGGCTAGCTCTGGAATAGTCATTGAAGACAAATCTAGCAGCTCTGCATTG